CATCTGTCAACAATTGTTACATCAGACAATGACTTGCATTTATTAAGTTCATCATGGACAAACCTTCACATTTTCCACAGGTTTCAATGAGAAACTTTATATAAAATGCTTTAAAGGTCTCAAAATAATCAGCTTAGTAGAACTAATGGTAAACTAAATAAGCTCTTCATTAAACTCTTATCAAAATGAATATTTAGCTTTTGGTTTGTAGGCCTACTGAAGCAACGGATTATATTTTCAGAAGCTTATTAAAGGGACACGTTCATCATCATTTTGGGGGGTTGATTTGAGTCTTGAATATATGTAAATAGTCTTCGACTACTAGAAATTTATGAAAATCACATAATTCCTTCAAAAATTTCTCAAACTAAGAATATTTTTTCCTATTTAAATATTATGTCTTTTCTTTATATGGCAGTGTATGATGAAAAGACGACTTGTCTTTTTAACTTTCAAACACGGATTATTCGTGGCACAAATGGATTTGAAGGTTCAAATTTTGACAGTGAACTGTGAACACTAATACTGATTAGTTTAAAGCTTAAAAATTCTCTATTCTCGAGACTAAGATATGAAAAATGGCAAACCTATCCTCTTAATGACTCTTAATGCAGATATTACACATTATATCAAAATATCACTGTATGATTTTGATGGCAATATATTCTAACTAACAAACTCAAAAGTGAAGTGCACAATAATATGTAATCAAAGAAAAACAAAATAAACAATGAAACCGTTCATTAAGGAGTGTAACAGCCTAAGGCACAGGATTGTCATTAAATATATGGTGTTGAAAAGTAAACATGGATTTACAGTATGCAGTCAGAACAATAGAAACCTTACATATTGATTAAAGATTTATGTATATTATGTAAACATGTTCTGACTGTTGTTTTGCATCTTTATATTGTCAAGCCATTACAAATGTTGTACTGCAATAGCCACTGTATCACAGAAGTTTGTAAATGAAGCCATTTGATTGGATTACATGTTAGCGAATACAGCCAATCAGAGGCCTCTACAGAAAGTCTGTGAACACAAAGCCATAATGTATATGTATATATCCTTTTTAACAAGAGCTCTGATTGGCTGTATTTGATGGCGTACAATCCAATTAATTCAGGGCTTCCATGATACAAGAATAGTGGATATTGCATTCAAGGTATAAGTACGAAGTTCATAATGGCTTGATATTGCAAAGATGGGGTTTTTGATGTTGTGAATTTCTTGGCATTGTTTCTCAAAATATATCATAACTGATGAGTGTTGCTAATCAATAATTTTAAAAATGACACACTTATTTCATCTGAAGAAACAGGGTCTTAGATAAGTACTTATTAGGACATTGGCTAGACAAATAGGACAATAATCCTCTACAGCATAAATATCTATGTTCATACGAATTACTATTTGTTCCCTGTTTTATCTTTCTATTTTTAAAGTAAGTTTAGAAAATGGTTGAAGATTTGATAAATATTTACATCAAGGATGAAGAAACATTAAACACTTACCTTAGTAATACAAAAATGTCACCACCCACTTAATAAACACTCTTTTAAAGTGTCATTACCACGTAAAATTTTGAAGGATTAATATAGTTTACCATCAATTCTATTGTCATTATATTAACATCTTACAATATTTATGCAACTCAAAGGTTAAATTACTGATAATATATATATATATATATATGATTTGATTATAATCTTAATTTCTGTCAAGTCTGAATTTGAGAATTTTTAGCTGTGAACTGCCATGAAATTTTTACGATTGTCTAAGTTTTTTTTATGTGTATCAGGAACACTAATAGCATCAATTTTCAATCAGATGTCTGAGGATCCTGCAATTCAACTGAATCTAAGTGTTAAATGGCACATTAATCACAAAGGCCCTATTTGATACAAGCATATTTAGAGAATTTTAGAATACCTCTTTACAATCCCTTTCAGTATTTTTGAATTTTAAAAGATTTCATTTTTACACAACATTTGTCAACAAAATTGCCAGAAACATTTTGAACATACTAGTTTAATTTATCTTGGCTCGAACTTATTATGAACCTTCACTTCATAAACTTTGGCTGAGTAGTTTCAATATACCATTGATAGCCATCATAGAGTAAATGTACAATAAGAAAATTTTGAATAGAAATATATAGTGAGATAAGAAAATAAGATAAAATATTATAATATATTCATAGATTGACTATAGTGGAGATACTATAAGATATATTACCTACTCAAATCATAGAGGCAAAGAATAAATGTTTTTAAAAGATTCACAAGATGGCTTTTTACATTAAGAGATTCAGGAGCACAACAATACGAAGAGCTTGTATTCCTTTTCACTTTTTTTTTCATGTTCGTTACAAAACTCAGCAATAAAAATAATTTTGGCAGAATTTTTTAATACTGATGTATTTAAGAAATTTCTTTGCCATCATTCTATATAATTTCAGAAGCATTTGATTTTGAACTGAGCAATGCAATGCAAATATGAACTTTAAGGGGATTCTGTCTGTAATCATATGACTCTTTATCTTACTAGTCTATTGAACCTTTACCAGTTGGTCCAGGGCATGAAAAAAAAGTTTGGCTTTATTGCTTCCCTAGTTGTGCAAAGAAATATGACAATTTTCCAAAAAAATAACTAGAATTGGCAGTTTTAAATATCTATCATATAGTTTGGTTGCAGTTGGCAATTATTCTGTTTCCTATATCAGCTGAACATGCAGAAATCACATGAATGCATTATAACGTGAACAAAATATTTCTGAAAAAATGAACTGAAAAAATTCTATGTATATTTTATTACATATACATGTATGTAAAATCAAAATCTTAAATTGCATATTAAAACCATCCATCATAAATTGTGTGTTGAAATGTCAAAAAAGTAGTTCATCAAGTTTTAAAATATAACTGTCTCTCCCTCCCAGTGCATTATCTAATTTCAAAATTATTTATTACATACTTCATTTTTTACCAAAAATATGTTTCTTATTACAGCATTATGCAATCCAAGATGATACTTTTCAGATTCATACAGAAAAACATGTAATGTATCAAATTTTTTGAAAAAAAGACAACCTTTTAGCAAGAATTAAATTACGTTAAAGGGACAGATTTGAGTCTTGAATATATGTAAATAGTCTTCAGAAGTACTACAAATGTACAAAAATTCCTTCAAAAATATCTCAAACTAGGAATTTCTTTCCTATAGTTGTCTTTTCTATATATGGCAGTGTCTCAAGAAAAGTCGACTCGTCTTTTAAACTTTTAAAACATGAATAATTCTGGACACACATGGATTTAAATGCTCATATTTCGATGGTGAGATGTACACTATTACTGATTTGCTTAACTTAAAAAATCCTGATTTTAAGACTCAAGTACGATTGGTCAAAAATGTTGCACATACACCTTTATATTAATAATTTGTCAGATTTAATGATAAAACACATGTATTAGTTAAAAGATACATATTGTTACCATATTGAAAAGATACATATATTCAAACAATTTATCAGATTTTGGACACAAAGATGTCTATGATATTCAGATTTAATCAACCCTTTATTGCATCATGATATTATTACACCAGTGGGTATTTGACAAAATAGCCAGTCCAGTAATATTATAAATTATTGACTGATAGTTCTCAATCAACAATACAATATTATACCTATATTGTCACCTATAACTATCATATTATACCAATGACTCATAGTTTCACATCACCCTACAATCTACTATTGGTTAGATCAGTGTAGGCCTACTAAATCACAATTATTGGAATTCGAGCATGTGAGAATACCTAGAAAATGCAGTCATGGTTTTTCCAGTACAATTCTATGAAATTAACTCAAAATGTGACATGCCTTGAGAAGATAATCTGGATCTCAAATTTCCACTATTCAATTTAATTGTGACATATCAAAAGTGAATTTAACATTTTAGATCACAGATTCAATTTCTTCAGTACAAATGATCATTATTAATCAAAATCCATTAGTCAATTGCCCATCATAGAGTATCTAGACATACAATTGAAGTATTTATGTAGAATATATCTAGGTATATATAGCCCAAATCAATATTTGAACATTACCAGCTCTCAATTATAAAATAATAGCCCTGTTATTCATGATATAGTCTATAGATATAATATCATTTTTTTATTCTATTCAATATTCATATGATGAATAATTTTATGGACGAATATTAATTGCTCATTCTCTTATATAGCTACTGGCAGGCATGAAGCAGAATTTCTATGCCATAAAGTATTTGATTAAAATGATATGAAGAGGACACTTTCCAACTAATTTCAAATTTGGCTGCCCTGTCCCCTGATACTGATGTATCAAAGATTTCCTTATCATCTTAAAAAACCTAGAAAGTAAGGTGCACAATATAAAGAAAAGTCATTTTCGTGTCAGATCATGTTGATTTGTAGTATCAATAAAACTATAAGATGCATGTTTTGAGTTCAAGTATCTGTTTATTGCCTGTTAGGTCACCAATAAATACATCATGTAATGCATGATAAAATAACTGAAACATGAATAACACAGTCATATAGCATAAATATTCACCTGATACTAAATATTTCCTTAAGTTAAGAATTCTTTACTTTCATAGAAAGGTATAGACATCTGAATACAGTACTTGCTATTTCATCACTTTTCAGAACAAAATCTGACATCTAATTCATCTACAATTCAACATCTTGAGAAAGTCTTGACTTCCACAGACTGCTTTTTATGAATTAATTGCAGGGGAGCTGGATTTCATATTTTGAACTCTGTCAGCTTCTCCACATGAATTGTTTATTAGCCGCTACCTATGTTTTGCCAAATTTTTATTTTAGATTTCGAATTTCGTTTTGTGGTTAGGACCGTTTGGTACTTGGGTTTTTTATGTGTAAATATTGGAAACAATTGAAACTTAAAATTGCAAAATAGTGAACTTCTTAATTAATATCACATAACCTACCTGTATCTTTTTTCCTATTTTCTTCATATTGGATCATAGGACTAGCAGTCCCATCACTCGACATAAACCCATTTTGAAAAGCCATTACTGAGCAATAGTGTAACACATTTCAGTTCATACTGCAGTGTTAATGACGTTTGAAATCAATCATACACAAATTGAGTAATTGATGTTTTACACTTTTAATTAGTACCACTCTTTAATTAACCAATCTGATTAACAATGGGATTAGTGAATTAATAAGCACTGCACAATTTATTCACAGGTGTACATTTAATTTAAAATATTTCATTTATTTAGCCAACACTCATTTGCCTGAACACACTTTAGGCACACTACTGGCTATGACAAGAATTTTAATCCACAAATATATTCACAGTAAAAGCCTAATAGAGAAATCTTGTTTTACTTCAGTCCTTCAGTTGGTAAAGAACATTAAAAACCAGTTAGACTGGCAGATTTAGTCAAGTTTATACATAGGTCCTAGGAATGCATAAAGTAAATGTCCCATAAAGGGAGAGGCAAGCTTTGGGCTAGCATACACTCATTTCAATAGGTTGACGTATCAAAAGGTATATAAATAGACAGGATTTCAGTGAGTGAGAGAGACACTCAGCTGTCATATTATTACCGGCCTGGTTGGTTGGATAGGGTTTATTGAATGAATAACATTATAACAAAGGCTACAACTGACAATTGGGTTTGTTTACTGTATTCATTTTCTTGACATTATTACTAGCTAGCAGACGAATTTTTCTTATTATACTACACTCTACCCACGTTTTATCTTCTCACTCAGTAACTGACAGGCAATCTGATACAAAGTAGAAGTAAACTGGTACTGTGCCATCATAAGCAGAGAATTTGGCCTAGTTTCTACAAAAGGTTGATTAATGGAAACCACAGCCACGTAGTACATTTCATACCAACATTTTGATTGAAAACAAAAAAGACAACATCTTGTCTTGGTGTAGTAAGAAAAGGGGGCGTGTCACTTAATACGTCAATGAATTGATTTCCATTATTCCTATTTTATGTTTTTTTACCCACGTGAGTTTGGACTCATCATGGTGGATTATTGATTTGAATAATATATATGGCATGAGTAATAAACCATATTTATATTCAGACATTTTCTCTGGCATATTAATGCATTGTCATGGACAATGTGACAAAGAAGCTAGTGGACAAAAGAATTCAAATTCTTACCTGCAATCCGTAGAACGGCTCGATCTGCCGGGTCAAGCTGTAAAATGCAGAGGGGTAAATTTAATGTATCCTTATTTTCCCATAATTTATCCATTATTTTGATGAATCTGTGTGTTCACTTGTCTTCATTATGTACTCCACTCTTGAAGTTTTAATGGTTCAACATCTGTTGGAATAAATTAGAAGAATGGTAAATTCAATAAAACAACAAATCGGGAACATTGAAATTTCACAATTCAGAATACGCATGACAGTTCGATAATTTCACCTTACACGGCTGTTGAAGAGAGCTTATTTCGAAATTGTGTTCACAGACGCGTGGAAAATTATCTAATATCCCAAATACCTCAAAGATATCGTGAACGAACCACGCAGTACTATAGTGTAGAAATTATTCACAGACAGCTCTTTGACAATTCTCAGAACATGGCCGCTCCATTGCTTCGAGTACCAACAATTCTGGAGTTATGGCCCTTTCATGTCAATCTATTCACTCCCTACAAGAATTATAAGGATAATTATATTTTAATCAAAAACACGACTATCAAAGATTTTTTCATGCCTGAAAATTAAACCTATACTTATTTCACGTATTCTAAAAAATTGTAAAAAATCAAAGACAAAAGCAAAGAGTTTTTACTAAAGTTTAAGTAATTACGGAGGGTGATTGGAAGATTGATGTAACAGCGGGATGCAGGTTGCAGTGACTGATTGTCTTTCGTCAATAATCAAATTAAGGCTATCAGAATGACGTTAAACGTTTTATCTCACGGCATTGGTAAAACCTTTTAACCTTTAGAAATTAAGCTTAGGGCCTACTTTGCTTTTTGTTAATAAAATTCAAGCCATTTTGAATTATTTCTCTACAAAATGTAATTATTACCATTAGGCCAAGGTTAAGCCAACTTATAGTCTCTGCCAAATAAACATTGTCTACAGCTCAACCTATCAATTGCGAATGTATAAGACCTCAATAATTTGCGATTCACAAGTTATTTAATGGTGAATATTACCGTTCTTGCGGCGATGTAATTGGGTGATATTATATCAATAAGATAAGGAATTAAACTAGAAATAGCACGTATCTATCAAGACAAGAGTTAATAGTACCACCTTAATAAACATAATCAAATTCCTTCTATTCATATTAATCTTACTTGGCAATCTGCTAATCAACCCATCAATCCTACATAACATGGTTAAAATTCTTTATATATTTCCAATGTAGTGCAGAAGAACCGTAATGAGAAGAACCGTATCCAGTGTTGAAACGAGAATCTGAAGTGTTGTTCGTCTGCTATACTCAATAATAACGAACTTTCCAGAGATATTAAAACATTGTAATTGTACATATTGAGCTATGGCCATGGCTGAAAAGGGGATTTTATTTTTTTTGCTAAATGTCAAATACCGTGTTCGTTTCTGATTTGAAGGCCTATATGATGATTTCAATTTTACATTATGATACTATACTAATTATAACACCTATAGTAAGTATATGTGCAAAAAGAAATAAAAGTCAACCATACAGTTACAGTAGCCTATGTGCAAATAATATTAAAACAAAATATTCGGACTGAAAGAATTCAAAATATCAAAATGTAGCCGATATTCAAGCTAAATTGAAAAAAGTTTTAATATAGTATAGCCAGTATACCAGTCCAATTGGTAGATAAAAATCTGGATATTAGGTAGGCCATTTGTTGTGTCTCATTACGTTATTCTCCTTGTTGATTTTCCTATGATTTTATTCATTGTTTTAAGCATTGAATATATACTTGTTGACGAGTCGTCATTTTAACATTCAATCGCGGATAATTCTGGACACACATGGATTTGAAGGCTCAAATTTCAACGGTGAGTTATGAACACTATAACAATATTGGCTCAGCTAAAAAAAAATCCGTTTCTGAGACTACAGTATGAATGGTGAAAAAATGGCCTACCTGTCTCTTTAAGACTGGAAATTAGAAAACATTTTTCAAGTTTCTAAACTTAAAATGTAGCTTAAATTTAACTCGTCCAGATGTTCATATGTTATCTTTCAACCATCTGAGAATTTTGGTTGAAAAACAGATGTTATGATTTAACTTGCATTTAAAAACAGAAATTAGACATAAACATGGGGTATTTTATTGCTACTTTTTTTTCAAAACCAAAGAAAAGTGTGAAATTGGACGAAGTTTAACTGCTCATTTTACTACACTTTAAAACAAAATAATGATAACTTATGTTAAAAGGGAAGCAACTGGTGTAGAATACATAATCAAGACCACAATAAAATGATAATCTCCAGTCAATCAAAATGATCTCCCAAGTTTCATAATGGGTCTCTTGACATAAGTCGGTCCAAATTATAAAATCGGAATTCAATTTCCATTTCTCTACAAAGCTACTGTACATGTATTTAGCGTTCTGGGCCCATTTGCGAAAATGACACCATTACTAATAAAAAAAATGTATTTCCCTGGAATTACGGATACCGTAAACGTGGAACGGGAAATCATTTTGGTGCTAATATAAGTTCTAAATGCCTCCGATATTCATACTAAGTCTATAACATTTTCTTTGATTTTGGGAAATACTTTAGTTCTGAGCGTTTTAACGGAGAATCTCCTATTTCTTGTTCATTTTGTTCAAACCCGACGTTTTTGTCTATAGTTTTCAATCAACCAAAATTGAAGTCAAAGGAAGAGTTAAGGTAATCTATCTTGTAAATAAAACTAATATCAATGTTATTTGACATTAGAGGTAGGATATGTGACACCTTCACGTGGCGAGGTCAATTGACATGGGATTATATCAAACTGTTTACACTCCGCCTTATATAAAATGTCATCAGTTCAGATACGTTCTCAATGTAACTGTATATATCGTAATTAAACTGATGCGTTGGAGTAAATCTCAAATAGCTTTTTCCACCAAAAAAAGAGTCCATTTTCTAATAATTCATATTAAACTGACCGTTTCACCTGGCCCGAAACTTACAGTCTATAGTCTCTGATAGACATTTTGATGGTTAAAGGAGTTTCAATTCCTACTTATTTTTACATATTTCAAAATTTGCAAATGAATATGCCCGATATTTTTTTCTTTTAATATTTGTTTCTCTTTTCGCTCAGCTTTCAGATCTCTGACCATAACAAGTCTCATGAAGGAGACCCGTTGTGATTAAAATGTAGATAAATATTTGGGGGGAGGAGTGGGGGAGTGTTTGCGAGTAGGGCCTCAGAATTGTCAAACGGGGAGGTGGACCACAGGCTATATTCATTCCCTTATGTAAACTGGTAGGAAATATGGGGTTTGAAATCGGGCCAGCCTTAGCACCCCCATCCCTTCTTCCACCAACATCCCTGTCATCAAATTTGTTTAAAATACAATCAAACTCATCTATCTTCATATAATATACTTTGAGATGAAAATAACCACAAAACCAATTTATATCTCAATCTTGCCCGTTTAAGATGTAATAAAAGAAAAAGTTAATGTTTACAATCACCTGTATGTAATGAAACTAAACTGAACTTGGCTAGATACTCTGAATACTAAATCAAATTGAAGATTGTCTGTTATTTTCTAAACCTGCGCGCTGAAACGTGCAATGAATTTAACGTAAAGGTTTTCCGTTTAAACCAAGCTTGCATCTGAATTATAATGATTCCCTCCCGGAATGTATAAATGCATTCGAATTGTTTCCAATAACGATTGATGGAGTCATAATTTACTTTGAAGCATATTGACCTTGGTGTGGTTGTCATTATTGTAGGTTTTATTATATGTCACTTTGCCCGCAATAGTTAAAAGCTTATTTGCTACCTGTGACAGTTTTCATAATCAAAGGCCGATGCCTTGTTCGCCTTCAATCAAAAAAAGGTA